TTTCTGTACCATACACGGCGAGCAGTATACGTGGCAGAACTATTTCAACAAGGCGCCGCCTTTTTCGCTGCACGGGCGCCGGTCTTTCTCTTTGCCAAGTTACCGCCGCCAGAAGATTTCGGTAGAATAGTCTCGTAAACTAATGCGCTAGTAGCGACGTAACGGCCCGTCTACTTCCCCCACATCCACCACGTCGCTTTAAACGAGACTGACTCCGACAGTCGTCGTTTGCATCAGCAACGACGCGTGATCGCAGACGTTCGGAGTCAGTCTATAGCTCAGAATGCAAAACGAAACGAAAGAATATTGCAAGGAACGCCGGAGCGAACTCTCTGTGGAAATGCGGCGGCAAGAACTGCTGCTGCTGCTACGTCGGCAGAGAGTTTCGTCGACTGTAACAGCAGTCATTTAACAGTCTGGTGCTCCAGTGGGAATTGTTTCGTAATCTCACGCGGCGGCAGAGGCAGAGGCAGCGGCGGCGGCGGCGGCGGCGGCAGCGGCGGCAGTCGTTGGGCGCTCTTTCACGAAATTGGAAAGTCTCTCTTGCGACGGAAGTGCAATAGCCTCCGTCTCGCGTCGACATCTACTGTTACGACGCGGCGTCCGTTACCGCGTGACGTCATATGTTACCGCGTAACGTTGGATGTTATCGCGTGACGTCAGATGTTACCGCGTGACCTCGGATGTTACCGCGTGACGTTGGATGTTATCGCGTGACGTCAGATGTCACCGCGTGACGTCAGATGTTACCGCGTGAGGTCAGATGTTACCGCTTGTGGTGAAATGCTATACCGTGTCATCAAATCTGGCAGCATGATGCTGCAACATCATACTATATAGCGTTGAATATCTAGTCCCTATGCCTGTCGTCGCAGCATGCCAGGCAGTTCAACATGGTGTCAGGCGTCACGGCATGATATCGACAGTGACAGCATCCCGTCTGTGAATGCAACATGATACCTGTCATTATTATAACATGATGTATTGTGAGATGATGTGTACTACCTATCGTCATGTTATATGCCGGTGACACAGTTACTCGATTGTGGTTCTCGTGGTATGCGTAGCACGCTGCTACACGATCTGTTTATTCTTCTTAATTTGGTGGACACGGTGTTATGGTTATATCGACTTTTAGATGATTTGAAGACGTTGCTGCTGATTCTGCAATGAAGGAATATCGCAACCCGATAATGTTCCAATCTGATGTTAATTTCTTTCGTTTCATGGTCAAAATATGTTCACTGAGATGCCTATGTTGCAGTTTTTATCATAGTCCAGATGAAAGGAAAACAGGGTGAAAAAAAATCGTCATTTTCGTAGCCCCTTTAGCTTTCGGATTGGATTTTACGGCCTCGCCTCTATCGAATTTGGGGGTCGTTGTCGGTCACTGCGTGTGTAAACCCGAGTAACTCAAACAAATCTTTCTCTGGGTGAAAAACATAGCAGGAGGCGATATATATCAAATGCGCTTCCCCCCGCGCGCGATTCCTCCCCGCAGTTCGCCGCGGTTATGTTTAATGCGTAGATGTCACCAGCGATAGTTCCCATGTGCAGATGATGTATTTTCAGCTGTAAGTTGTAGCTATGTGTACGTACTTACGGCCGAGCAAGCGGCGTGGCGCGAGCAGCAGGCAGGGTGTACGCGTGCCGTGCCGCCGCCGCCGCGGAAGCAGAGCAAGGGAGGCATGCAGCGCGATTCGATGATTGAAGTCACATTATGCTGGCGTCAGTGAGTGGTCGTGTCTGCAGCCGAGCCGGGGTAGAGAGAGAGAGAGAGAGAGAGAGAGAGAGACAGCTAGAGCACTGTGCCAGCGCGGATGACAATTTAGTAACCACGGGTTTCTGTAGTATATAGAGAACCCCCCCCCCACACACACACGCGCGCGCCATCTTTTCCTACACACGCACAAGCGCACATCGTGGACGTGTTCCTAACCGATAGGATATCGTAGGGCGCAGTTTGGACGAGCCGAGAAATTATTTCGAACAAATTGCGTGCGTGGTACGTGTGCGCGTGCGAGCGTGCGTGCGTGCGGGCGTGTGGGTGCGTGCGGGCGTGTGGGTGTGCAGTTGCTTCGGTAGTCACCCAGCTGTCGTGTCCTGGTTAATATACTATCTCGCCGAGGCAAAAGCTTGTTAAAAAAAACCTGTTTGAATGCCCCTGGATCTCTCCGCGACTGTTCCCACCTGCGATCAGGGGGTGGGAGGGGAAGACGTCTTCTACCAGCAGCAAGCAAAACGAACCGTAAGAACTAAGAAAAGTACAGCGCTCTGGTGAGAGTTCGTCGCCAGGAGTATGCATGCATGCCGGTGCTGCTCGCTGCGAGCGAGCCATGGCACAAGTCAGCCAGAAGTCAATCATCGACCAGCGAGTGCGCCCGCGCGCTCGGGCGGCGAGGGTTCGAGCGAAGGCTCGGCGAAAACGGAATAATGCCTCAGACTACGCGGTGCCATTCTTATCTCCCCCCTGCATCTGGCCGTGCCCAGTGGTTATAAATAACAGGAGCCATTAGGCCGCCGGTCCGGCTAGTTGTGACTGAACCAGTCTCTCGTTGCGTTGAAACATGTTTCGCTCTCTCTCTCGCTGCGGTAAGGTACAGCAGCAGCGGCAGCGGCTGCACTCAGCAGCGAGCGAGCGAGCGAGCGAGGGAGCGCAGTGTGTAGCGCGGGGGTTGGCGCTGGTAGCTAAGCCTGCATTCGCCCACAGAGAGCGAGTCTTTTCCCCCGCTGCGTGGCGTGATTCCTGTTGGCCCCAATCTGAAAATGGATCCTACAGTTGAACGAGCGATTTTCTGATGTGTAGCCTGCTGATGGTTGCCTTCAGTGATATTGTAGTCGTCAGGGGTCATCGGAGAAGTCACGCTGGATATTCTTCGAGCCATATATCGCACGCGACGTTAATAGTTAGACAGTAATGAAAGCTGGCAGTCTTGCTGGTTATCGTTTGAACGAACCCCATAATATATCCCTATGCTAATCCTAACCCGACCCCACCAATATAAACTACCCGGGTTGAGTCCCCAGTTTTTGTGCACAGGGAGGCGTACGTAGACCCCCGTTTAGCTGTCGTGTAAATGAAATACGTCGCATACGTTCTAGCCTCGTTTAGTTTATACATCCGCTATCATCATCGCCAACCTTTCATCTCAGCACGTATGTAAGAAACGACAGTATATACATATGTATTATATATATATATACATATATATATATATATACATATATAAGATAAATTTAAAAATAGAAATAGGTGTCAAAATTTTATTACGCGAGCTTTCGAGAACATATGTCTCTTTGTCAGGCGACAGCAACAGAATATATAATATATATAATATATTGCAATGAACTATCGTCTGCCTGTCGTCGTGTAGTACCTGCTGGCTGATGCACCTGCCACGAATTGTACTTCGCCGTGTCGCACTCAGGACGTCGACGCCGCTATTGGTTTAAAACGCGTCGCTGTGCGTTGTCGTCGTCGTCGTCGTCGTCGTCGGCGACAGCGGCGGCGGCACGCGGGCGGCGCGGGATGCCTGCCGCGTGCATTTAATATTAAAACGAACGGCGACGCAATCAATACGCTGCATCGCAGACACGTGGATTGATGGTGGCGGCGGGGGGGGGGGCAGTGTTCGTTCAGCGCCCGTTCTTTGGTTGGTGTCGACACTGGCATAACAATGTAAATGACAGCCACCACCCTCAGCGCCAGTCACGGTCCGCTGACCGACGACATGCGCGCGCGTGCGTGCGTGTGTGCGTGCGTGCGTGCGTGCGTGTGCGTGGAGCTGTTGTTTAAAATCGCCGAGTAAAAATAGTGAACGCATTCTTGGTCGAATCCGACCGGTACCGACACGCCGTGAAGTTTCGACAGTTTGGCCAGTGTGTGTGTGTATGTACGTGTGTGCGAGCGTGTATGTGTATGTATGTATACGTGTGTGCATGTATGTATGTATACGTGCGTGCGCGTGTGTTTATGTGTGTGCGATTGTGTGCGGCTCTGATGGATTGTGTCATCACCGGCGCGACCGGTAATAATATGACACGAATGTTGTTGTCGTCAGGGTCCTGTCATGTTCCGCCGCCTCTCGTGTGTCATTGAACTCCGTTACGTCTACGTCTTGTGCGTGCGTGCACGCATGTGTGCCCGCGTGCGTGTGTGTATGAGTATCTCTAGGCAGGTGCGTTCGTGTGTGTGCGCGTGTGTGTGTGGGTGTGGGTGGCTGCATAGCATCATGTTGATCCTTTCTACCCGCTCGCGCAGTTTATTGCTATGTAAAACATTGCCCGCTTTCGTAAAGTACATGTTGATGGTTTTAAAACCGCGTTCATCTGTTTCTTGTTAAGCCGACTGCCCGCCTATGTTGTTATAACGCAACAACCGAGGACCGCACTTTGAGTGTTTGAATAGCGATTTCTAGCAATCCCGCGGTTTGTCGTCGTTTACTTGATGCATTAAAAAACAGCTAATCGACGTAAGAATATAAAACGCAACAGGCGCGTCGTTATGCTATCCTACTTATTTCTCTACTCCGTGTTTTCTTGTTCCACGCGTGATTACTTCAGTGGAGATATGTAACGTTTACTGGGCGTGCGTTGCCTGCTTTTCGGCGGCTCCCCCTTTCTGTCTCGCCCGCTCTTATTTCGCCCTCTCTTTCTCTCTACCTATCCGTCTATCTCTCCTCTCTCTCTCCCCCTGTCCCTCTCTCTCCTTTCTCTCTCGTACTCTTCCTCTCTCTCTCTCTCGCGTATATTTGCAACCTGTTGTTGGCCGCAACACTCACCGTTCTCTCGCGCGCTCTCTCTCTCTCTCTCTCTCTCGTTCTCCTCGCCTCCCTTCGCTCCTTTCTCTCTCGTTCTCTTCCTCTCTCGTTCTCTCTCCTCTCTCGCTCGCTCTCTCTTTTTCACTCTCTCTCTCCACCTCCCTCTCTGTTGTTCGCGTGCATTTGCAGCCTGTTGTTGCCCGCAATACTCAGCGTTCTCTCTCTCTCGTTCGCTTGCAGACTGTGAGAATTCCGACTCGACGCCGCGCAGCCACCACCACTGGTGCACGATCGCCTACTGGGAGCATACGAGCCGCGTCGGTCGCCACCTACAGGTCTACAACCCCAGCATCAGCGTTTACTCGCACCTACCTCACACCGACGGCATGTGCCTTAGGATACTGCAGAACGAGCAGTGCAGCGGCGGCGGCGGCGGCGGTCACGATATAAAACCACGATATGAAACTACGGTATGAAACCACGGAATGAAACCACAATATAAGGCCACGATATGAAATCAGGTTGTAAAACCACGGAATGAAAACACGATATAAGGCCACGATAAGAAATCAGGCTGTGAAACCACGATATCAAACCACGATATAAAAACACGACATAAGCCTACGAGATAAAACCATGATATGAAACTACGATATGAAACTACGACAAGAAAACGCGATATAAAACCACGATATGAAACTACGGTATAAAACCACGAAACGAAATCACGGAATAAAACCACAATATAAAACCAGAGTATTAAACCACGTTGTGAAACCACGATCTCAAACCACGATATGAAACTACGGTATGAAACCACGGTATTAAACTACGATATGAAACTACGGTATAGAACCACAAACCACGGAATGAAACCAGAATATAAAACCCCGACATGAAACCCCGATATGATACCATGATATCAAATAACGATATGAAGCCATGATATGAAATCACGATATAAAACCACGATATGAAACTACGGTATGAAATCATGGTATGAAATCACGGAATGAAACCACGCTATAAGGCCACGATATGAAAACGTGATATAAAACCACGATATGAAACTACGATATGAAACCGCGACATAAAACCGCGATATGAAACGACGCGCTCGAATAATTGCTTGCTTTGACTTCAGAACATAGAGAGGCGAGAGTCCGCACGCACCAACCTCGGGGCTGGTAGTACTGCATAGTAATACGATTTCTACGCGGTGGGTGAAGGTTAATGCGGCGAGAAAGCGTAAACGTCTTGAGCCGCGACGGCGAGCTGAAATAAATCCATAAACAATCAGTTCACCGCGTAGCATATATGTATGAATAATACGCAGCACTCGTGCCTGGCAAACTCGTGTAGCGTGGTTTCTATAAGCGCTAGAAGCGGATAGCTCGAAGGTGCCATTCGCGTTCGAGGTTGCACGGTTAACCAGCGGTTTCAGCTCTAACTTGCACGGACATCTAAACCGTATACGAGCACTGTCAATCAGTGCTGATTCTCTATAGGTAAACTGACACGCGCAAACTCGCTTTAGTTGCTCTCTCTCTCTCTCTCTCTCTCTCTCTCTCTCTCTCTCTCTCTCTCTCTCTCTCTCTCTCTCTCTCTCTCTCTCTCTCGCTCTCCCTTCGTTACAAAATATCTTCGCAGAGCTAATCTGGAGGGTCAACAGCACGTAATTTCGGGGACCGATGGGCGGTTGGGCGGAGACCTAGAGGCGAGCGTTGCGCATTTAATCACGGAGGATTCGGAAGAGCAAGTCAAAGCCAAGGCAAAACGACGTCACAGGCTATCGAATCTTTGCACATGTTGTTCGTGTTTCTTTGTTTTTGTCGTTCTTGTTTATTGTTTGGATGGAGCTTCATTTTTTGCGTTTGCGTGTAAACGATATTAATTTGCTTCGAGGAGCAGGTACATAAGTTAGACTGCTCCATCTCTGTGTCGTATAGCAACAGCGGGTACACGCGCTTACATCCATACGTATATACAGCTCATGTCGAGTGACGTAGGACCAGTCTATATAAGTGGCAATGGATGCTAATCAGCAGCATGCTTCTAATGAATGAAAGGACACAATTTTCGTTAAAATAAAAATTTTGTAAATTCTAACAAAACATAATGACACGATGCCAGTGTCTTTGAAAGCTTGTTTTCTGCATGTTTTAAAGGGTAGGGCCTATCTATTACGCACATGCTTATGTGAAATATGTATATATATATATATATATATATATATATATATATATATATTTAAGTACATCTACGCCGCCTGCAAGCCTGCACACACATACATACACACACAACGTACATGTGCAACCATACATACATAACAAATGGTCGAATGCACGTACACGTGCGCGCGCACGCACGCACGCACGCACGCACCACGCATGCATGCATGCATGCACCGCGTACATACACAGCGGAGAGACACTACACGAGTTGCAGTTTCTGTTTAACATCGCCATCGTGAGCTTACAGAAATGAGCGGTCTCCGAATGAGAAATAACTCTTCTCAGAGTTAGCAGCAGAAAAAAAACGTGCAATTCGAATGGAAATATTATATACGAAGTTATTTTATATTTAGAATGTTATTACATACATTGTATACATTCTGTGGGCGCTCCGAAAAAACGTCAAGTTAATATTGCATTTTTTGCTGAAGAAGTGTAACTATATTTTGTTATTAAATTGAACTTTCAGTTAGTTGTGAACTAAACATTCTCTAGGATCACGCGTTTGGTTAAAACAAACTCCGTGCGCTGTCTTCCCGTTGTGTTACGTACTAATGTGCAAAAGTGCGTAGAAATTATGTCGAATATTTTTAGGACTGTTCGCACACATGAAAATCGTTCTGTCATCCGATGACAAAAGCAAAGCAAGCATGGCCACAGCCGGACTACAAACATCTGTTGTGTGCGTCGTGATTCGTTCTTGTACATAATACCGTATGTAAGATATAGGGAGAAACGCGTTTTGTTATGTGCTGCGATTTTGTATGCTAGCCTATTTAACCGTCGGGGGAGAGAGAGAGAGAGAGAGAGAGAGAGCGAGAGCGAGAGAAAGATCGGTGATCGCTGGCGACTATGGTACAGTAGCGCAGCCGCCGGCGCCAGACCATCTTGTCAAGAAACTCAACAGGGTAGAGCTTTCATGCATTTATGCCAGCACGCCATTCTGGCGGCAGTTTTTGCCCGACCGCAGAGGCCTCTGGTGGCGGCTTTTCGCAACTAATTCGCTATGCGTGTCTGATCACGGCGGGCGGGCGCACTCCGTAGAGACGGGGGTGTGGGTGGAGAGGGGATGTTGCTAATTAACTCTCTTAGTTTATGTTGCCATGCATGAAATTATTCGCCTACAATCACCGACTGACTGATAGTTTAGCTGTATTTCTTCGGCAAAAAGGTTAAACCGATCGTTGTGCCGGCCGAAAGTTTCCGGGGCGAGAAAAAAACAACAAAGCAAATTCTTCGTCGGTAGACAGTCTTGCGGAGGGTTACGATTTTAGAACCATCTCGGCGCGGCGGCCCACTTCTGGAGGTCGATAAAAACAACAGACGTTACGTCGCATTTCAGACTGGTTATCTTCCTGTGTCGATGTGCTTGAATGCGCGCCGCAGCAGCGCGATAGAGGAAACGTTCTTGGAGGGTTTATTCAGAGGGCACGGCACGTTCGTTGGTTTACTCCAGAAGAGTAGAGTGGTGACCGGGGGAAGGGAGAGCGTGTGTGCGTTGTAGGGAGAAGGAGGAGGAGGAGGAGGAGGAGGAGGAGGGTCTCGCATTGAATTCCCGCTTCACAGTTGCTGCCAATCGCTGGTTGTAATAGTTGTACTGTTGTTTTGCAATAAGCCAGTTCGTAGTTACAGTATGCGCATGTGCGAACCTTGCCACGAATTCTTCCGGGTCAGGTCATTTGTGACAAAATATTTCGTAATTCGACCGCACATACGTTGTAATGCTACAGTCTTCGCGTGTGTACGTTCCGGGGGGGGGGGGCACTCCCATTGTTAAAGGTACTGGGGACGTGCCGCTGGACAAGGTATATTTTCCGAACATCATTATTCAATATTGGCACAGGGTATATTTTCCGAACATCATTATTGGCACAGGGTATATTTTCCGAACATCAATATTGGCACAGGGTATATTTTCCGAACATCATTATTGGCACAGGGTTATCTAAATACACACCCATCAAGCTGATATTGGACCAATATTGGCAACACAATATTGGGCCAATATCACCAGGCCGATATTGGACCAATATCTGCCTATATTGATAGAACAGGACATAACCGAAATGTGCAATATTGCAACAGGGTATACTGTTTAGTGCAGTATATTGGGACATGTCCCCGAGGCACCCCCCTACCCAGTTCCGAGGCGAGTGCCCCCCCCTCCGTGCGTGCGTGCGTGCGCGCGTGCGTGCGTGTGCATATACACGTGCGTGCGTGCGTGTGTGTGCATGTACACGTACGTGCGTGCGTGCGTGAGTGTGCACGTACATGTGCGTGCGTGCGTGCGTGTGCACGTACACATGCGTGCGTGTGCACGTACACATGCGTGCGTGTACATACATACACACAGAATACATGTACATATACGTACTGAACCGAGAGCGCACGCCGCACTCGAGATTTCATCGATTTTTGTCACAAATGACCCGGTGAGCTGTGACGTCACACAACCCCTTGGCTAACTACGAACTGGCTTATATGGTGCGGTGGGGACGGCTGCAGGGTGTAGGAGTGCGTACGTGCGTCTGTGCATGTGTGCGTGCGTGCGTACGTGCGTCTGTGAATGCGTGCGTGCGTGAGAAACGCGACCGTCGTTCGGCCGTCTTTTTCTGTCACAATTCGTCGCCGTCACTACGTCACGCGACGTGTCGTCGTCGCGTATGTACCCGGTTGCGACTGCAGCGCCACTCCCCCTCCCCCCGCGCGCCGGGCGTTGCCGCCGTAAATCGTGCGATTGTCGTAAAGTTTACGACGCGTTATTATTTAATTGGGCAATTATGGAAACGAGGTCCCGGCCATCTCGGCCAGGCAGGGGCCGGCCAGCGCGCACGCTACACATTCATTCACCTATTTATTTATCGGCATTTTCGGCCGTTTTATTTGATGTTACCGGGCCGGACATCATCGAGTTCTAATTTGCAATGACTGTAATGGGTCTAGTGTACTGTGGGAGGATCTATCCCTGACGTAGCCTCGCGTGCGTGCGTGCGTGCGTGTGACATATTAAGGCGATGCTTACGAAAAGTGGCTGTTTTCTGTAAATAAGACAGTTTGTACGAGGATAAACTGGAGATTGTAAATTTTATTTGTTTAAGATAAAATATTATATATAGCAAAAAGGTTAATATACTGAATCCATTGAATATATATATATGAAAATCTTAGATTTGTTTTTGTGTGTAATCTATTTTCTTATCGCATAAACATAGGCTACGAATAAACGTGTACAACTTAGAAGT